GCTGGGCGAGGAAGCCTCCTCCTCCTCCTCCTCCTCCTCCTCCTCCGTCCCTTTCCCCTTAATGATTATTCCTCCCGGGCTTGCTGGGAGGCGCCCCCCCGCGGAAGGGACGCTCGGGGTACGACTAGGGGGTGTTAAGGAGAGGAGGGGGGACGGTGTGGGGGGGCTGAGCGGCCGCGGCTGGTGTTTGCAAGCCGACGGGCTCGGGCAAGGCTGCCGCAGCGGCTGCATGTCAGAAGGGACACGTGTGCGTGGAGAAGGGGGGGGAGGAGGAGGAGCCACGGAGGGGGAGGGAGCGGCCCCACCCAGGGCGGGGAAGAGCGTGGATTCAGGAGGCCAGGTGATATGGCGAGCAATGTTCCCTCTAAGCTGAGTTAGTGCGAGCTAGCTCACACTTTTTTTAGCCTCCGGCTCACACATTTTTGCCTTAGCTCAGGAAGGAGGGCTCCGGAGCACACTCATTTATGCAGGACCCAAATTGCTCACTCACATCGTTAATGCCAGCAGCTCACAGAGTAGCATTTTTGCTCACAAGACTCCACAGCTTAGAGGGAACATTGATGGGGAGACCGGGCGGTGGGATCAGGCAGTTGGCGCCAGACATCTTCCCAAGGACGAGGAATGATTCCTTTCGATGCCCGTGGGCGCCTGGCGCTCAGCCTCTCCGCGACCTGTAATGGCGGGGGAATCACCGTCCGGCGTGACCTACCTCGCGGGGTTGTTGTGAGGAAGACGGAACTAACGCGAGCCTGGACGCTCCGAAGGTCGCTCTTATTTAGAGAGGTAGATCTTGCTTTCCTCCTCACCGTGGTAGGGTTGCCAACTCTGGGTTGAGAAATACGTGGATGGGGGGGGTTTTTTGAAACCTGGGGACAGACCTCAAAAGGGGAGAATGCGTAAGACGATAAGAGAAGCCATGTTGGAGCAGGCCAGTGGCCCATCCAGTCCAACTCTCTGTGTCACTGTCACACAGTGGCCAAAAAATACCAGGTGCCATCAAGAGGTCCACCAGCAGGGCCGGAACTCCAGAAGCCCTCCCACTGTTGCCCCCAAGGTCCAAGAATATAGAGCATCCCTGCCCCAGACATAAGAACATAAGAGAAGCCATGCTGGATCAGGCCAATGGCCCATCCAGTCCAACACTCTGTGCCACACAGTGGCCAAAACCCAGGTGCCATCAGGAGGTCCACCAGCAGGGCTGGAACTCCAGAAGCCCTCCCACTGTTGCCCACAAGGTCCAAGAATATAGAGCATCACTGCCCCAGACATAAGAACATAAGAGAAGCCATGCTGGATCAGGCCAACGGCCCATCCAGTCCAACACTCTGTGTCACACAGTGGCCAAAACCCAGGTGCCATCAGGAGGTCCACCGGCAGGGCCAGAAGTCCTCCCACTGTTGCCCACAAGGTCCAAGAATATAGAGCATCACTGCCCCAGACATAAGAATATA